ACTGTTGATTGTCCGCACCTCCCACGCTACTAGCGTGGTTCCCATGTTGTGAGCATGGGAGTTTTATTCACGTTACTGGATGTTCACGCAACTAGCGTGGTTCCCACGCTATGAGCGTGGGTTGCAAGAAAGTCTGGCGCAACTAGCGTGAGTTTCTCGCTGTGAGCGTAGATGTCTCTGGATGAAATTTAATTCTGGCGCTACTAGCGTGAGTTCCACACTTGTAGCGTGGGGCTTCAGCTTGGAAACTTCCACTTGGGCTTCTTTTTGTCCTGTTTTCGTACAAAATCAAAAGGAAATCAGTTGCGTGATCTCTGATTGAGATTTATCATATTATAAGTTATTCTAGCCCTTTTTATCCAGATTTGATCAAAATTCTTTCTCTTTTTGGCTTAGATTTATACATATGCTAGAGGCATATCAAACACATTTGTACCGATTATTTTTAATCCTTATCATTCTTTCAAATTACAACCAAGTCCAATTACCACTTGAACATCACTACTCAAGCTTACAACTTCAATGAAAATCTAAATATTGAATCATCATGAAACAAGATGAAAATAAGGTTTTTTTTACTGCAAAAGTCTTCAAAATGATCCTAAGAATGAATTTCAAGCTTCCAATGGATTAAAACACTTCTCCCTAGCTCCAACCAACATAAAACCCACCACCTAGAGGGTGATTTTTCTCTTCACTCACTTGCTTTCACAAGAATTTCTTTACATGTTTTGATCACCAAGTGATTCTAGGTATTTTTCATATTCAATCTTTAATGATTTGATGGCTAATTAAAAAGTTGCATATTCGAGCTCATTCAACTATGGTGGTTCGGTTATGGAGAGGAAGAAGCACGAAAATGATGGTCTTAATGGAAAGAAAATGATGCTTAGTCATATAATTAACTTTTACACAAAAGTCAAAGTTCAACTAAATATCTAAATGGCATATTACCATATAACCCTTCATGTATAATCCTTAATAACTTAAGACTTTTAGCCATTTTTCCCTAATTCAATCTTCACTAATATAGCTTAACAATGTTACACTACATTATTCCAAGTTCCGAGCAATTTTTGCATAATTATGTTTTTGCCCAAATCCTTCCACTAATTGCACTTTTTCCAAAAAAATGACTTATTTTCACCTAAATAGATTCTCCACCTGATTAGACCATCATAATCATGATTAAATCATTAATCAATTCACTAATTCGAATTTCAGAGGTTAGAGTTATTACAACATGGAAGGATGCTCTTGAGTCCGCAACCTATGAACAATCATCATAGCCTACGTTTCAATAAGGGTGTGCATGACAACAATTCTATTCTCCAACATTGTTTCTAAAAAGAAATAATTTTTTTTCCTATTTTTGTGCCTTTGAAGAGTTTATGGGAAAAAATGTATTTGATAACATGTTTTAATTTTTTCCCGAAAAACAAAATTACGTTTGATGATACAATACAAATATATTTATTTACTTTTGAAATAATTACAAAGATTTCATTCAATGTGTAAAATAAGCAAATGACAACAGATATATTAGCGAAAATGCCAAAATTTCATATTTAACAAATAATAATTACTTCACTAAATCTAAAAGATATAAAAATATAATATTTAATAAAATAAAAATACTAAAACAAATATAATATTTTTCCTCATGAAAATACTAAAGTATACAAAAATACTACTCATTTTTTAATACCATATTATTACCTTAATATTAATGAAACAAATAAATAGATAAATACATAACATAAATAACATGATATCCAATTAATTTAAAGCAGAAAGAATTGATACAAAAAATGTAACAAGTCTCTAACATATTTTGAATATCTTATAATTTGTAGGGCTAATAAATCAATATGAAATTAGGGGCAAGTGATTGTCTTTAGCTAATTGGTTTGCATATTTTTTTTTCAACAATGTTTATTTCAGTCGCTTGATTTGTGGGCTCTCTTTCTCTATAACTGCAATTAATTGGGTTGCTGACCGACCCGACTTGGTTTTATATGTCAGGTATTTTGACCCAACTTGGTTTAATTTGATCTAGGTCTGGTCTGACTCGCTTTGAATTTTTTTGAACTGGTTTAGAACTAGGCCAGATGCGACCTGACTTGGTTTAAAAATCAGGTCAAATTTGACCTGACCCACTTTTGACTTGGTTTCAAAACTTGTTTTTGATCTGATTTTTTTATTATTATTGATTTAATTTTTAAACTCATGTAATTTAATTATTCATTTGTTTTCAAAATATAAATTATATAATAAATTTGATATTTGTTGCATAAATAAAGGAATGTAATTTTAAGCCCCTGTACATGTGAAGCAAAATTAGTGAAAATTAATAAAAAGTAAAAGAAGAGAGAACATTCTTCCCATCTTAAGAAGACAAATCACTAATTTTAACAATACTAAAAAAGATCATATTTTTTATGAAATTTCTACGTTGCAAACGACAAAAGTTTCGTCACAAAAATATTTTTTCGTCCGAATACTCTTTGTTGAAAAGCGACGGAATTTTTTCTCTGATGAAAAATTTTACAAAAATAAATTTTCTATCGAAATTTTCGACGAAATTTAGTTTCTGTCAAAAGTTTTGACGAAAATGATTTCCTCCATCAAATGTTTTAAACGAAAAAAGAATTACGGCAAAAATTTTGACAGATTGTTTTTCGTTCAAAATTTTGATGGGAATGTGTTCTGACGAAAATTTCGAAGAAAATTGTTTTGAAGGAAATGTTTCATTCGAAACTTTCGACGAAATTTAGATTCTCTAAAGAATTTTGACAGAATATTTTTTACTTTTTTATTGAAATATTTTTTGTCAAAAATTTTAACGAAAATTTTTGACAAAAATGTGTTCCGTCAAATTTTTTTACAGATTTTGATTAAAATATTTTTCGTCAAAAAATTTTGCGAAAAATTTAGATGGAAATATTTTTCGTCAAAAATTTTAACGTAATTATTTTATGTTAAAACTTTTCTTTTAACGTAATTGTGATTTTCTTTTTCTTTTTCTTTTTTTTCACATAATGGGTGTGGGTCAAATTTTGAGGCAATGGGTCATTATTAAAATAAGTCAGGTCTAAAGCTGACCCAAATAAAAGTGGGTCAATATTTAAACCAGTTAAAAAAAATAGATATTTATGGGTCAGGTCAAGGTCAGATGAAAGGCAGGACAAGTGAATCAGTTTTTTTGGACACCCCTAATCACGATGAGAGCTTGCTTCAGAAATGTAAAGAGAGGCATTTTACAAAAAACTGGAAACCTGTTCTTTAAAGCCTCAAAAGACCATTCAATTACATTTCTTAATGGAGAGTGCCAATTGTTGAATAACTCCTTGCTGATCTAGACTGATTTCATCTCCCTCTATAATCATTCAAATGGTAGCGCTTTCCCTCTATAGTCATTGAAACTATGTATTGATTATGTACTACGAGTTACTCAGCGCTTCACCAGCCCAGCTTGAAAAAGCATTAGTGAACAATAATAGTACAACGAAAATAAAGCAAAGTAGAGAACACCAAAAATGTTAACATGGAAAATCTCTTTAACGTGAAGAGTAAAAATCACGGGACCAATTTCAGAAAACTTCCACTATGAATAATGAGATTACACAATGTTTCACTCTGGCTCAATAACCAGAGAATTTCACCCTCTAAAAGGATGAATCTACTCATAAGTGTCTCACACAAATGTTTCTCTTTGTAAAGGGAAAGGAATCCTACTCTATAGGCTTTTGTTCTTTCTTCAACAATGATTTTGTGTTTCTTCCTCGGAATATCTTAGTCTTTGGCTTGAGATTCCTTCGCGTTTGCGTCTCTCTCCGTACAGTGGCGGCTGAGCATCTTTTTCTAATAAGAGATTAGGTCACTCATCAAGTGAGCCGGGTCCATCATGGGCCATAGACCCAACACCTTTTGTATGGAATTGAATAGAATTCATCTAGAAACTAAAATGTCTCCATAACATGTGTGAATGTTATCCCTCCCGAGCAATTTCCTTATGTCCAAACTGTAATTGTAGGATTGGTTTATATCTAATGTATTCATCCCAATGTTAGTCCCATCACCACAAAAGAGGATGGAAGCTGAACTGTAAAAGAGAGAGAGCCTATTGTTGTGGAGAGCCTTCCAGGATTAAAGGACCCATACATAAGTATGCAAACTAATTAGTGATTTAAGTTAGAAGCCTTTTTCCAATACTATCCAAGCTATTTTAAGGCTGAAAGGAGAAGATTCATAACTTCCTCTACACGGGTTCAAATTGAGTGACTCCGGTATAATATATCGTTTTAAACCCTTAGAAGTCTAGTCAGTGGCGGATCCAGCATGACATGTTAGCAAGTGCCAAAAAATTCAGCGAGTGCCCAAATAGCTACAGTTCCTACCATCAAAACGTGGCTAATTTTCAAATAGTGTAGTTAAACGAACGTGGCTAAATAAGCAAGTGCCAAGACAACTGCAAGGCCACAACGTGGCTCCGCCGGAGCCACCGAGTCTAGTTTCATAATACCCAAATCTCAAAAAATTTGAACATAAAGTGCAATCCTAGAGTTGGAATATTTGCGCACCGCTAGTTTTCAGTTTCCCTTTTAGTTCGTAGTTGGGAATTAAAGATGATAAAAAAATTATGTTTGAATTGCTCGCCGAGTATTGATTTATTATGGTTACACATGTTTATCTTAATTTGCTTAATTTTAATAATTGTTTTATTATGGTAATATATATTTTTCTTGTGTTTTACAATTTTTTTGTACATTCTTGTTAATCAAGCGCCATTGACAGCAGCAACAATTGAAATAGTACTACGTAAACTCATTCACCATCGATATAGATGAAACTAGAATATTATATAATAGGGAAAAGCAAGTGTTATAACAAATAAGAAGAAAAACAAACTTTATTCATGGCAAGATTACAAAGACACCAGCTTTAACATAAAAAGCAATTGAAAGGAACTATGCCTTAAAGTAATAGAAATGAAACTACTAACGAATCAGATAATTTGTCATAATGAGAATTATCTGAACAATCTGGTCGACAATAGAAACATATTTGGAAAGCAAGGATGCATCATGAAATGGAGGATTTGACGATGACAGTCCTAAAGCACACAAATCAGCGTTTGTCATGACATCACTTGCAGCCACGTGCACGTTAAGGTAATTTCTCGAATTTAACATTTGTTGAGTATACTCGGCAGCATCAAGGGCGTAATTGAATTGTGACAAACACACTTGGTAATGCTCTCTTGCCTTAGGATCACTAGTACTATTTTTGATCAACCGATTGATATATTTGATTGTGTTGGTGACATTGGCACGAACTACATCAATGGTGTATCGCGTAAGGTTAACGAGATCTTCACCAACTGCTCCACCAGGCTTCGAGTTAAGGAGGCTTAAACAAAATGAAGGATTTTCGGATTTATTGCAGATGACATTTACTTCCACAACTCTATTGGAAGACTCAACAAGTAAAAGATATGCCAACACAGAGACAAAAATCAAGCAAGATCTAACAGAGAAATGAACCATTGTGTTATCTTTTTCTTAATTTCTCCTTCTCTCCTTAATCTTTTGGTTTAATTTTACTCAGCATGAGGGTCATTTTATAGTCCTCAATTGAAAACAAGGATTCACGTTCACTTCATATGATATTACTATTCGAATATTTGAATTCATTATTTGCAATTAAGTGTTTTAATTATGAGTTAATTATATTATATATATACTATTTGATTTCTTTGCACATTTGTAGAAAGAGAATAGTAAAACTTAGCAATAATAAATATATTTAATAATAACTAATGCAAATACATATGAAAATATTAAAATTATGATTTTCAGAATCAAAATCGGATTGTGCGTTCTTTTCAAACGGTGGAGCTGCTGAAATTTAAAGCAAGAGTAACGTATGAAGCTTATTTAATATTTTAGATTTTTTTTAATTGTATTTAATTTTTTTTTTGGATACATGTATTTAATCATTTAATAGAATGTTAAAAAAACAAATATTCAAATATAGTTTTAATGAAGAGAGAACGGTATAATTTATATTCGACGATGAAGTAATTTTGCTTTACTGATTAAATCAAAAATAGTTGAAAGAATAGGACAAAAAACATAACGGATTCAATTTTTCTTATTATGAGTTTTTAATTTTTCTCTTAAATTTATTTATATATTATGGCAGTTTGTTTTAAAGTTAACTATTCTCCAAATGCGCAAAAATTTCAAATAGTAGATATTGTAACTCCTGGCCTTAGCACAATCTGATTTTGTTTTTGAATATATTAATTTTTATACTTTTAACCGTATTTTCGTTAGTTATTACTAAATTTATTTATTATATATGGCTAAGTTCGAACGTTAACTATCCTCCACGTGAGCTTTCAAATTCTAGATAATCTAATTCATTAACACGATATCTACGAGATTTGCACATAGAGCCCGTTTGGAATAATATATTTAGTTAAAAATATATATCGCATACTACGTCGAAATGCAAAATATAGTTTTAAGTTTTGAAATAAATCCTTCGAAAAAAATCAAGGCAAAAAAAAAATTATTTTTTAAGAACTCATCCAAACGAGTCCAAATACATTCAAAATAAGTAACTTATATATGTGAAAATTAATATCGTGTTAAATGAACACGGATTCTTGTTTTCAGCTGAGAATTATAAAACCACCCTGGTATTGCACACACTAAACAAGAAAGGAAGGAGAAATAAGAAAAAGACAACACAATGGGTCATTTCTTTGTTAGTCTTTGCTAAAAGGTCTTTGACACAATATTGACTAGCATTTGATAATGGTATCTTCCCATTGGATAAGTAGTACTATTTGCGGACACTAACGTGAACTACTTCAATGATGTATCGGGCAAAGTTAACGATATTTGCATCGACTGCTTCACTAAGCTTTGAGTTAACAATGCTTAAACAAAATGAAGGTTTTTAGTTTAATTACAAATGACATTTCTTCCACAACTCTATTAGAGAACGTAGCAAGTGAAAGCAACACTAATAAGAGATCAAGAAAGGTCTAAAGAAATCAACTAGAATGTTCTCTTTTTCTTTCTTTTTTTCTTCCTTCCATCCTTAACCTTTTGGTTTAATTGTACTAAGCACGAGGGTCATTTTATAGTTCTCGATTGAAAACAAGGATGCACGTTCATTTCAAAAGCTATATACTGTTCAAATATTTGAATTCATTATTTGGAATTATATATGTAATAACCCGGAAAACTTAATTATCTTTTTTTACAAATTAAATTAGATAATGAAGTCGATAAGAATTTTATTTAAATTGAGAAAATTGAAAAACCCTTTTACTTTGGAGATTGATCTTAATAATTTACGTCGAGATCTGGGAACCTAATTATGGATAGGGAAGCGTGAAAACTTAACTTTATTGCATCCCTACTACATCTACTAAAATGATTACCTTGAGTTAATTGTGTAATTTATTTAGAAACTTTAAAATATTTGTTTACCCGTAAACAAGAATAAATTATTAAAAATATATCTTAGCTTCTTCGACGTATCTCCCAGCGCAATGGAGACCTCAAAGATACGTCATTCTTAATTTTAGACACTTTGAATCATGAAACTATTACAACTAAAATAATTCTGAACAAAGATTATCGAATTAACAAGTTGTCATATCTAAATCAATCCTTTTTTGGGTAAATTAATTTTAAGCCTTATTGTATTAATATAAAATTTATGATAAGTTTAAATAGGTTTTAGATCATCAAGCTGTCATTACAGCTAAAATGATCATAAACACTTATAGGATCAACAAGCCGTTAAGACTATGTTGCCCAATATATATATATATATATATATATATATATATATATATATATATATATATATATACAGTGTTCTTTTTACATCAGTGTAAGACTAACAAATCTTACGTACACCACATCTTAAGCGTTGATGGACGAAAATCATTAGTTGGTATTTATAGTGTAATTAATGATTAATTAATTTTAATTAATTTGTATGACTTCTTAAATTATAATCGTTGGATGCACGGAAGTCAACGGTTGAAATGTGGTGTAAGACTTAGTAGTCTTACATCGGTGTAAAATGATCCTGATCCACATATATATATATATATATATATAGTAGGATAAATATAAAAATCATATAATAATAAAAATTAGGTTGATTGACTCTTTTGCCCATATGTTTAAAAGTAATTATCACTTTGCTTCTCTTTTCAAACTATATGATACTCATATTAAATGCATGATATATAGTCAAATAAAACAAGACCGGGCTTTTAGAAAAGCCTATTTAGAAAGCATGTCATAATCGTTTTCTTACATGCCGAGCCTATAAGCCTATAGGCTGGCCTATATCATATTATTTATTTTAAATTAATTAAAATAATATTTTTCATAGTAGTACCGAAGGGTGATAGTTCAGTTGGTGCATGTGAGCTGAGTAGGTGGTGGAAGGACCTAGGTTCGATCCCCAACCAATACTACCTTTGGGAGTGGCATAAGATTTGTACCAATCTCTACAGTACCATCATAATCAACATTTACTGCTGAAGGAATAGCTATTTCTACATTACAAATTGTTATCGAACTTATGTAACCTTGGAATTTTATTTGTAGGGGAGAGAAGATGATGAGAAGTTTTTGGCTACTACAATCTTCATGATACATTTGTTGGATTCATGCAGTTATTTTAATTTACATAATATGGATTGATTTGTTGGATCTGATGAAATATATATTATTTACTTTGGGCATCTTGCTTCTGAAAGTGACTTAAATGCAAATTGTGATAAGTTGTTGTTGTGATTCATGGTTCAAACGTTGAAATTGTGATTTTTGTTTCAACAACAAAATTTGAGTATTTTGTGAAATTGATTCATATTTTGATTGGAAGTTAAAAAATAACAGGCTAACGGGCCAGGTTAGGTCAAATTGAAATTTTTTGACATAGACTTGAGCTTTTCGGTACATAGCTCGGCTTAGCCCATCCCACTTTCACCCATACCGCTCACTCATTACACGTCTCACCTAACAAATGATTTAGTTTGATATAATGAAAAATATCTCAACAACGTTCTGGTGATATTTTATAAATATCTACAAGATCGATGGTGACCAATTGCTTATACGTTGGAGTATCTGTTTGTGATATTTGATTCTCGATGAATAATACTCATCAGGTAATTAATCAATTGTAAGTTGTAACACACCAATCCAGTGGGCTAGCTCTTAGGAGGCCCAATCGTGAGAAAAGACTACCAGGCTACCTGAAGGATTATTTTCAATGAATAAATGGCTCAATTAGTATTTTTACTTGTTATTTTACGTAATTAGAAATTAACAGAAAACAAGGGAAAGGATTGTAACAGATTAGCTATATAGCCCATGAATTCGTGGTGGACCTGTTTGTTCTTGATCTCAAAGGAGCGGACGTAGTTCTGGGTATCCAATGGTTGGAGACTTTAGGCCCTATTGTCTAGGGCTGGCAATATGGGCCTAGTTTGCCGGGCTAGCCCGTTTAACCCACTCAAATTGGCGGGCTGGGTTATGAGTTTCAACCCACCAACCCAATGTAACCCGCCCCGTTTACAAATGGGTTAAACGGGTTGATAGGAAAACGGGCCGGGTTGGCCCGATGGGTTACAATATTTAGAATTTTTAATTTTTTTTAAATATCAAAAAATTAAAATTGTTGAAAGTTGAAATGTAAAATAAGACAGTCATTTGCCCTAAATCGAATATGAACAGCAGGCCGCAGAGGCAAGAGCGGAAGAGCAGTCTCCTCCATTCTTTCTGAACGTCTCCTCCATTCTCTTCGAGTTTCTCTTTCTGCAACTCTCTCATCATCATCTCACAATCTCTGATTTCATTAGTTAACTTGTCGTGAGTTACCCCTTCATTGATTATTAATTTTCTCTAGTGATCTGTAATTATAAGCTTTACTTTGGTATGTGGTTACTGTCATGAAGCCGCTCGAGTCACTGGAAGATAATATGTTTTTCCATGTTAAGGTCATAACTTTGCTCCACCGACTTCACAGCGGTGGTTGATTTCCGATCAACAGAGAGAGATCGCCGGAGAAGCTCTTACGCGACGCACAGGACACCCACGCTCCTATGCCACGCCTAAACGCCAACTTCCCCCTCAGCGCCAGCCTCTTACGCGGATTTGGTGTCTTTACGCCAACCTCATACGCGGATGGTGTTCAGATGCAGAAGACTGTATCTTCAGAGAGAAAAGTCTTCACGCGGAAAGGAACTTTTTCTGCTTCCCTTCAACTTTACGTCTTTTGTTATATTATTGAATTCAATTATAGATGGAATTAAAGATAACGTCACTGCCTAGATGGAATTATAAGAATAGAATATAAGAACATAATATTTTTGAATTGAATATTATTCTAATACATTTGGAATCTAATAACGTCACCTACCCATATAAGCTACGTTTTGCATAATATCAATTGCTATCATTGAATTCCATCTAATAGCAAAAAATTTATAATTATAGTTTTA